CAATTAGTCCCATTAAACTTTCCGCTATTCCCTGTACCAGGGGTAGCAATCATCTCGTGTTAAAGCTCAATGCCATGAAGATTGTCACCTTCATGGTCAATATAATAAACCGAAAATACGTCCGAATATCCGGATTTCAACTACAAATTACTCAAATTTCAATATCCAAATAGAAATAATTGAAGTGATGTGTTTAATGTTAATAGTCAATATTAGAACACAACAATAACTTGAAAATTAGAAATAAAACAGAAATTCATACTACCTTATATAAATAATTTTGCTATACAATATTTTTGTAACACTATTTTCTGTAAATCTATGGAGAAGTACGTTTAAACGAAATTCAAATCCTTATTATACTTCTAAATATGAATTGTTCAAAAAGCAGAGAGGGACCAATTTCGTTGTGTTTTTTACTTATATCCATATTAAGCCAAATAGTCATTTAACTTGTTAAACAAATTTCACAAAAAATTGAATCTCAATTCACACCACTTTTACATTATTATTAGGAATTCAGAATAAACCCAACAAGATAAGATAGAGTAACTTATCGTTAATTGTTGGGAAAAATGGTTTTCAGTGACCACATCCGGATCAATTGCATGGAAATAAATAAAATTGAATTTGTGTTCTAGTTATGAAACAGTTTAGTTTAAATATCAGAAATGTTGAATTAATACTTTGGAAGTTACTATTTGTCAATAATAGTTGCTACATGTGTATAACCTCACGATTTGAATGTGGTACAACGTTGCAGCTCTATATTATATAAAACTTTTTCCTCGTTATTCGTTTATTCTTCTCAAGGGTAAATTTAATTGCTATAGCCATACTAATTTATAGGAGTTCCAAAAGCTTTTGAAGGTTATGCTTTGAATACGCATTAGGGTGGTCTTAATATGGGCATTTTCGAATTTCCTTGCTCCCTCAATTGCGCACTCTCTAAAAGTTCATATTAGGAGGTAAAACTTTCAGAGAATGTTTTTTATCAATTTGGAACCATTTGAGCCCTTGGGAGCAAGGAAATTCTAAAATGTTCATATTAAGGCACCCTAATAGGCATATTAACATTTTAAAATAATATCACCAATGATAATAGTGAATTTTGCAATAATTATCAATTGTTACCCCCAGGGCATTCTATTTTTTATTCTCCATTTATTTAAAAACTGCCCAGTTAAGGATATTTAGCATTGTATACTAAATTGACAATTGATTGAAATGTTTGGAAAAAACAACTCAATAGCTGTTTGAACAAATTTGATGATACTGATATATTTTTAATTATTTTTTTTTATAAATAATTTCTTATAATTAATAACTAAGTTATTTCAATCTTTATCAGGAAAATTGATGACTTAGAAACTTAGATCAATTGGCGATTTTCTCTTCAACTTACGTCGTCGAATTCCATAATCTAAATGTTAAATTTTATTTCTCATATTGTATATTTCCTATTTAATGCGTTGAAATATTCTATCGCATAACAAAAAGTAGCACACAAAGTTTAGTATGATAACGCTAAAGCAACAAAGCATGGAACTACTCCAAGTACAGTCGCTCGCTACATAGAGATAAGAAGAGGCAATAGATAGATAGATAACTAAAAACACGTAGTAAATCGACAGGGTCGCATTTGATTTTCGAAAATAATTGAAAACAATTAGATTCTTGTGTAATATAATAAAAAACCCTTAGGTAACAAGGCGTATAAATATTATACACAGTCTTTTAAAATTTAATTTTAAACAGTTTTTAAATTTTAATTAATAGGTAAATTAACAAAATTATGAGAACATACTATCGTGTGCTAATTTTTTCAAATTAATTATGTGAAATTTGAATATAATGTAATCAAAAACATATATTTATTTAAGATATAAAAAATATAGATAAAAAAAATAATGTAATCGACTAATAAAGTTCTCAATTAAGTTCGCAATTCAGATTGAAAAAGATTGATTTATATGAAAAAAAAACTGTTTCATTTATTATAACCTTAAATACCATTTATTATTTTGAGACTACACCCTTCCCCCCCGACCCGAATTAGCATGACTACTTCTTATTAGCACATCATAATCAATCATATAAAGCTTAAACTTTTAAAGTAAAGTAATTAATTGCAACAATAAACTAGTGGTGTATGGCGTCGTGCCTTAAGGCAAATTGCTGGAACTTCTTATTAGGATCATTTAAATCGGTTGATCCGTTTTTTAAAAACTGACATTGTTAACACTTTTTGCTCCATATCTCCAAAGCCGCTGAACTTGCCTTTGCCAAAAACTAATCAGCACATTCCCTATCAAGAGGAATCGATTTCTTTTCGAATTTTTGAAATCGGTTCATCCATACGCCCGAAATCCGACGACGAAAAATTGTCTCCACACACACACACATCCATCTTTTATGAGGTATACCTAAATGTTCAGAAACTTCTGAAACGTGAAGATATGCAAAAAAAATTATTTTCGGTTTTGGCCCATTACTATAACTTTTCCTACGGGAAAGTAAATAAGATATGATACATATTCTCTAATATTTGAACTATATTGCTTAATTAAGTAATAAGTGTTCACATAAGTTGGTCATACGT